TATGTTTGGATGAAATTCCAAGGAATCGGTCCTTAAGTGCGAGAGCGGGAAACCGGACACCCGGTACGTTCCCCGGTCCGCGGTTTTGGAAATTCATTTAGTTCGCAAGCACCGACCCAGGTGTCGGGTTTTCCAAGTCTTTTGTAAACCCAAGTTTTACCCAAGTTGTTATTCAGATTTAAGTTTGAAGGCGTCCGTCGATGCTCGCACAGGGTGCACGAATACCGAGACGCAACTAGGTGGTTACAAGGGGACATGATGTAACAATTAACAAGGGAAGGATCAAATGCAACAATATTAGGTAAGTCCGCCAATCTGCCTTGCAGACGGGACAACAGATTAAGTGCGATCCTATCAATGCATAATATTTTTCAAGCAACATAATTAAATTCAAATATAGGCTCAAGATGTTCAAAGGTGGCTTGCCTTGCTCGAGATCTGGAGCTTGATCCTCGAAATCCTCGCACTGCGGGTCTTCGGGCTCCGAAACTACACGCGATACGGGACAACTCAACAAACGGTGAAAATAAAGCCCTATTAATGACTTCTAAGCGTGCCATTAGATAGATCTCGAGATTTGAGGAATTTTGGAAGTTGAACGGAGTCAAACGGATTTACGGTTGGGAAGATATTGAATTTCTAAGATTATTGGATTTTTGGTCTAAAGGAAAAAGGATTTAATTAAATCCTTTTTGAAAAAGAAAAAGAAAAGAAAGAAAAGTGGGATGGAAATTAGACTTTTCCTCGAGTGGCTAGGGTGCGGCCCGAGAGAGATGGGGCGGTCCGGCCGAGCTAAATGGGCCGGCCGGCCCAAGACGGCCCAAGCGCGCGCGCGTGGGAGGGGAGGAGAGAGAGGGCCGGTGGACCGGGCTCACCACGCGCGGTCCCGGGTGGGACCCGCTTGTCAGCGGCTCGGCTCACCGTGCGGAGGGAACACGCGGCGTGGCGCTAGGGTCGGGGAGGGACGCGGTGCACGCGCGCGGTTCGCGGTGGACGCGGATGCGGCGGGCCCACGCGCAGCCTCACGGCTCGCGGTGGAACGCGCGCACGGGAAGGGATTGACCGGGGTCGACTCGACCCGGCCTTGGCTGTGCTGGCGCCGACGTGGCGCCTACGTGGCTGCCACGCGGGCCGGCGGGAGGTAGACGACGACGCCGGCCGGAACGGACGGCGGTCGACAGCGGCGAGCGACGGGGCGAACCACGGTGATACGGGCAAAAGCGAGCACACCGGGCGGTTGCACGTGACGAGGGGAGACGAGCCAACGGCTCGGATTCGCCGGAGGGAGCTTGAAGGCGGCGAATCGCGGCGGCGGCAACCGGCGGCGGGAGAAGAGGAAAACGGCGACGAGGTCGCGAGGGGCCAATTCCCGGCGGCGAGAGCATCTACGCGGCTACGGGAATCCGATGCTAGCGTCGGATTGGGCGGAACTACGCCGAGCGAGGCCGGCGACGAGCGGCGCTTCCGAGCTCGGGCGGCGACGGCGGCGAGCACACGGCGAGCGACGGCAACGGTCGGGGTGGCGCCGGCTAGCTACGGGGAGGCTACTTGTGCTACCACCGAAAGCTAAGGGGGGGAGATGGAGCGAGGAGGAAGAACGGAGGGAGACACTACCGCGATGAGGAAGGGCGCTGTGACGAGAGGCCGACGGCGCGGGAGTGATCTCTCCGGCCTCGGTCCGAGGAAGAGGAAGAAGAGGGCGCGCCCGGAGTCCCCTTCCGCGTCCTAGTGTGCACCGGCTCCTCCGGCACACACGCGACGACGAACGGCGACGGCGAACAGGAGCGACGGTGGCGGCGGGAGACGAAAACGAGGGAGATTGGAGGGGGAGGGCTTGGGTTTAAATGGGCGGCAATGTCGGTTTGGGAGAGGGGAACCGACATTGGACGGTCAAGGCGCGAGCTGGCGCTCGGCGCTTGCGGCCAAAACGGCGTCAGGGCGGAGGGAGGATGACGCCGGCGGGGAGGGGAAAAGAAAAAGAGGGAGAGAAAAGGGGGCTTGCCCCCTTGCCTCTTTGGGGAAAAGGAGGAGGGAGCGGGGCGACGCGGCAGAGGGAGGGGGGGCTCTGCCTCCGCCCCTTAGAGGCTAGCGCGCGGAGTGGCGGGGCCGAGGCGATGACGACGGCGATGACGGCGGGGCGGTTTGGAGCGGTGCGACGACACGGGCGACAGGCGCGTGCAGAAGCTGACGGCGGCGGCGACCGGGCGGTCGGCCACCACGGCACGCGCGCGCGGGAAGCAACGGGCAGCGTCCGCGCGGGCGCGCGCACGCGAACACGGCGCGCGGGAAGCGGCAGCGAGGGAGCGTAGAGGGAGGACTCGGCTCGGCGCGGGCGGCGCGGCTCTCGCGCACGCGCGCGCGGCGCGCGGGCAGAGCGGAGGGAGGGGCGCTGGGCGTGGCTCTCGCGCACGCGCGCGCGGCGCGCGGGCGGAGCGGAGGAAGGGAGAGAGAGAGGGAGAGAGCGGGAGTGCGCCGGGGGAGAGAGCAAGAGAGAGAGAGAGAAAGAGAGCGCCGGGGAGGGAGGGGGAGATGGGCCGAGAGGGATTCGGCCCATCAAACCCGGGGGATGCAAACTAGACTTTTGCGGAGGAATTTGATTTGGAGGGATTTGGATTCGGAATTGAACTCGACGATAGATCGGGGATTTGAGATCTTGAGACGGCACGGACACTAGACAACAAGCGAAGAAACAAATTTCGCAATTAGAGTTTTTAAGAGATAATTTTCCCGCTAGGCGCCACGACGGAACGGGCGCTACAGAAGCCAGTACAGAGATACAACTAGATACTACAACTAAGATTATGAGAGAACAAGAATCATCAATCCTAGATACATAGAGAAGACGGCATCGCCGTCGTCGGCATGTTTCAGTGCCGGATGGACATAGAGTGGAAGGAAGTGTCAGAAATCCCAACATGATTGGAAACTTTGTTATCTATTTTGATTTTACACAGTAGCTGTACAGAGTACAGGCTGCATTCATGAGATGCAAAAGTATCAGTATACATGCATTTTCAAAGATTCAGAAAATTGAGCGGCATGTATTTCCAAAATTTTGAAAGCTTCAGAAGAGCAGCATGTATTTCCAAAACTGGCCATACTCGACTATACTCGTTGGGTTTATTCCTAACTATTGCATATATACACACTTTTCACAGTAGTATGTAATATTGACAAATAATGTGAAATTAGTTGATCTCGTAGTAGTATATAGTAATCACTAATCAAGAAGAGATTAATGGAGTATAATTAAGAAGAGATGATGATGTATGTGCAGGCAACTAGATCGATACATGTGCTGATGTGCACATAATGATACTATAATCTGAAGAAAAGCTTGTGTTTCTACCAGGCAAATCCTGGTATATATATTCGTTAGATGATCTGCCGTGATATTCGGTTGGAGCCTTCGAGGGGGCTGGCTGTTGCCGATGCTGTAAGCGGGTGCTGTGATGTCTCCAGCACCGCTTTTTGCTGATGGATTGGTCGTCGCCTTCGGCTTTGCCGATGGGCTGCGCGCAATATGGCTGTGGACATCGATCTAATCGCCGCCATCGATGCCGATGGATCACGACGCTGCTGGCGACCTGCATGCTGGCTTATACCTTGATCGATCTGCAACAAAAAGAAAGAGAGATCAATCCTTGATCAATCTGCAAGAAATACAGAACGAGAGAAAAACGGGAATCAATCACCAGGAATATCCCAATGGTGCAAAAGCTGCTCATGTCGATGGAATCACGCCGCCGGCAGGTGGACAAACTGCATCGACGTCTCGACGATGGATTCGATGCCACCAGCGCACAGACTTGCTGATGGATTTCTGCTACTCGCCGCCGTGGCCTGAGACGCCCTCGCCGATGGATCGCATCGCCGTCGCCGTCGCCTCCAAATTGCCCGTATATCGCACTCTCACCTTTGGACCGATCTGTTGATTTATAGTTCGGTTTAGCACTAAATCAGAAGATTCAGAACGAGATATTTATGCGAGTATCAGCCTGGTTGCGATTTGTGCGGGATACAAATTTTACCACGATTTTTTTTTCACGATAAAAATGAAAACGGGTCGGTATGTGGATCCGCTAGCATAATCGATCTCGGCTGGTTGCGAACGGACGGTGGATGGAACCAGGAGTACGTACACCTGGGTGTATAGAACCATTTTCCTACATACATATATATATATATGTGTGTGTATGTGAGCAATAAGATTTAGACATTATATGTAGATTTTTCAGTTGCAAGAAAAAAAACATTATACATTGTTGCACAACGCAATATATTTGTGGACATCTTGATGAAACCTCCTTACCAATTTGAAATTCGATCGAGTTGATCATCCATACCATTTAAGTTACCAATGAAACTTCAGATATTGTGAAACTCATTGTCTGTGGTTCATTGCTGCATCTAGGATCTAATCATGTCTTGGTCCAAACAAAGAATTTAAATGATTGTGTTTGGTCTTGAGCCTTGTGGATGATTGCTAATAGTGCTACATTACCGGCCCTTTTCAAATTATTTATAATTTACAATTTGACAATGTCATTAAGTTAGGTTTACTAAATTTAAATGCCTAGTCACTACTATAGAAATATTTTTCGCAAGCTCCAAGCAATTTGTTTTACAGGCGGCTCAGACATGAAAGCATATATATAGGTTTGCGTTGTTGTTTTAATTTTGGGTGTGAATTCTACTTGTTCTTGGTTCACGTTTTGATTATTTTTTTAAAAATAACTAGAATGTGAAAGGTAAAATTCCTAAATGTATTTTAACAGTTCAGGTCAATCGATCAATTTTTTGATATCAAATTTATTGATGTTCACATATTTGTTAGTTGATATGCATGGTAAGTGCACCCTAAACCTGTGTGCACATGCATGATATGTTCCCACGCATGAGATGTGATTTTGTGATCATATATGTGTATGAAAAAAGTTCCTTCTTTTTAGGACCTTGGGCATGTACTGCCAATATAGGTGCAGCTGATTTATCCTTAATTAGATGGTCGACATATGTTCATTGTTTTTCATTAAGATCCCGTGGAGGAAAAAGGGGTGACATCAAAGATTACATGGTTCATCCATGTCACATGGAACTAGATATATATGCCAACCCTAATGGATTACACGCATAAGGATGAGCATATATAATCATGGAGCGAATTTACATGGTCGTTTATCAGCTCTGAATTGGCTTCTCCTCCTCGGAGTTCTTCACCTCTGTGGTCCCCTTGTCCACCTCGGTGTTCTTTACCTCTATGGTCTCCTCGACCACCTCGGTATTGTTCACCTCTGCAGCTGGGGCTGAAGGCTTCTCCTCCTCGACGATCTTTTCTTCAACTTCCTCCTCCTTGTCTTGCATGACAATGGCATCATCATTTGGTGGTAACTCTGCCATCGCGGTGGCCTCCTCCACTACCTTCTCAGGTGCTTGATCAGCCACAACCTCCTTATTGGAGATCATTGTGGTCTCAAGGGCAACCTTGGGTGCTGCCTCAATGGGAGTGGCCTCCTCGGGAGCCTTTCCCTCGAGCGTCTTGGGCTTGGTTGCACAAGCACCCATGGTTGCCCCGACTGTAGTGGCGTGGTCGCAACGAGCGGCCAACAGAGACAACTGGATTATATTATTGGTTGGTGGAGGAGGAGATTAATCGATCAATTCGATCGATCGATCGATCGAGGAGGCCTTGAAAGTGGAGGTGATTTGGAAGCGGAGCAAATGCTCCTTATTTATAAGATGTTTAATTTGTGGTTGTGCATAACTTAGCTAAATTTAGACAAGAATAGTGTGAATGGTTGTGCGTATTTGACATGTCATGCGTGCATGTGGATGTATCGAAACATGAATAAGTTCCAAAAAAAAGACTTAGCAACCTAGCAATCAGTTGACATGCACCTAGAGATAGATAGCGCAACCACAAGGTTTAGTTTGCCAGATAGTCCGTCCAAAATTAAAGATCAAACGAGAAGACCGCCACGTAATCAAGTATTCAAGTCTGTATATATGAACTACAGTTCATATTGTTTTGTCACGAATGCAAACACATATTTTCAATGCAGAGTCTAGTGTTAGATGAAATAGCTAGCACATATATACTTCGCATATATAATTTAGTTAACTTGTCTATATATGATCGAAGTAAATAGAAACCAAACAGGCACGCTCGCACAGACGCACACTGATCTCCGGTGTGTGTGTGAGAGATCAAAAAAGTAATTAAAATGAAAACAACCAAGATATTTTTTCTTAAAGAAAAATACATATGTCACATGCAATGACCAAACTTTACTTATGAAGAAACAAGCAATCCAACATATAAACACACACACACACACACACACACACACACAATATTTCTGGTTAAAGCTAGCATAAACCAAACCAATAAATCAAACAGGCCGGCCGGTGTCCTTGGCGTCAAGCTAGATTTTCGACCGGGATTAATGCCCACGGCTTAACGCACGGGCGTGTCACACCTGTATGCGTAGTGAGTGCCCAGAGCACAGAGATGAACTCCCCAGCATCTTGCCCCAATGCATCCCTATGTGCCTTGACCTGCACCTCATCGTCGCCTGATGGCGCTATGAACACAATGAGCTCCGTCCAGATGTGAGCCAGTACCTCCCACACGGGCTCCTCGTTGTCGACGAGCGTAGCCTTCTCGAAGAGAATCCTTCCAGCCCTGGCACCCTTGCACATCAATGGCATCTTCCCCTCTAGCTTCCCTTGGGATTCTTCTTGCATCAATTTCTCGACTGCAACTCGTCGTCCCACAATCTCCTTTGGGAAGCAGTAACGCCAGCATCCGAGTGTCGCCTTCAGCTCCTTCTTCAGGGCTCCATACATTTTCTGTGTCCCATCTAGGTTGCTGGGGAGTAGCTCTGGCTTGAAGGCCACCAGGTATGCGCAGTACTTGGACAGTGTCGTCGCCACCGTGCGGTGAGCTTGAGAAGAAGCTGTTGCTCCTGTCTGCTTGGGGAATTTGGCCTCCAATATGGTGGTGGCGATGTGCCAAGTGAGCATCACCTCCGTGACGTTGTCGTTGTGGCACATCCATGAGAGCTTAGAGTGGTACTCGGGGTAGTTTGCTTGCATCGTGGACCATCCGTTGCTTAGTGGGGCATGGCCGTCAATGTGGTTCATCAGATACTCCATGATGGACTTCTTCACCTCCTTGGGTACAATCTTGGGTTGCAGCAAGAAAGGATGACGGCAAGGGAGAAAACCTCCTCCTAGCATGGACAACTGGTTGAACTGGAGCCTAGGTTGGCTCATTAGGTTCCGAACCCATATGATCCTCCGGATGATGGCCTTGAAAGTGGGGCTTAGACGGCTCCTCTGTGGGTTCCTAGCGTAGAGGTGGATCAAAGACACCATGAACCAGTTAGAGAGGATGCAGACAATGAATTCCCAAATCTCCTCATAGATGTTAGCCAGCACTAGAAGAAAGGTGATGGCAAGGTCCACCGTGGTGTAGAGTGCTGGCGGTGTACTAATGTAGTGGAAAAGGCATTTAACCGTCTTGATGATGCCAATATGTAGAAGTAGGTTGTCACTCGTGATACTCTGCAACGCGTAGGACCAGTCCCCATTGTTGCAAGCAATGAAGGTGAGGAGGAAGAATGCCAATACGAGGATGGGAGACATGAAGTAGTTGGCTAGGAGGAAGAAGGGGCTTGAGAGCACAACGGGGAGGACAGAGTTGTAGTACTCATTGACGAAAAGTATCTCGTCCCTTAGCACTTGGAACAGTGCAACCGCGATGGCTTCCTTGTCCGTGCCGTCTCGGCATAGACCTCTGAAGATGAGGTCGCGGCAGTTATGAACCTCCGCATCGGTGAAGCGGAGATTCTCAAAGCGACGACGCAGCAGCTTGTGGAGTGCAAAGGAGAGGCACAGCCTCTTGAGCCTATGGTCTTTCTGGAGAGGAGAGTCTCTCACATCCGCCAGGGACCATATCTTGCCAACGGTGATGACATGATCCGTAGTATTTCTTGCAGAGATGATCTTCTGGATATTAAGCTCGCTGTCCTCCGGCGGCCCAGCCTCCATCTCCAACTCTTCTTCTCCCATCACGGCGTAGTCGCAAAGCTTCAACAGCTGGGCTCCTCCTCCTCCTTCATCGGAATCTTGACGACGACGATGTAGCAGTATGTGAGCCATGTAGGAGTGGAGACGTTGGGCGTTCTTGCCATAGGCATAGGAGGACTTGAGAACCTCATTTATGGTGATCCTCTGAAATAGCTGGGAAGCAGCGATCACCCATAAGAAGCCAAAGACTACCCTCTGGCCAGAGCTCTTGAGGTTGAAGAAGACGAGGTAGCCCTGCCAAGCAACGCGGGTAGCTTGCTGAATGGTGCTCAAGTATCCTTTCGCTCCAGTGTCGCTGACAAGAGCAGTCTCCACCTTGTTGCGGAGGAGCTCCACAAGAAGCATCCACGTGAGGATCGTCCGTGCCCGCAACGAGAGCTCCGTTTGCTGGCCGGAACTACCCGCGGTGGCATCGCCGTTCTTGGCCTCCGAGAAGAGGTAGGACATGACGGGGAGGAAGAGGGAGAGTGAGCTGGAGAGGATCAAGCGGACGGTGGGGTTGAGCACCGCGCTCACGTCGGACAAGCGGCTGAAGAGGCTGAGGATGAAGAAGAGAGAGGCGAGGATGAACATGATGGACAAGGTGGCCACAATGGAGGTCTCATTGCTCTTGTTGGCATAGGATGATGTCAGGTTTTGGACATAGTTGGCGAAGATCATATCTATGCACGTATCATAGTCACCACCGCTGCCCATCTTAATTTGGAATTTGGGTTTTAGCTAATAAGCTACGCCTGCTAGCTACCTTAGCTACCTAGCCTTCTATGCATGCCGTTATATATATATACATACATATTGTATTGATCATCGCATTTATTTATTCGATCATGTGCATATATATACTTTAGTTAATTTCACGCCATGACAGATCGATCGATCGATCCATGTTATATGGTACGTTGCTTAGATCCATGTCTTGGTATTAATCCTCTCCTTGAATCATTTCCTCTCTTTTTTTCCTTTTCTTTTTTGCTTTTTCTTTAGCTATATGCATGGAGATCGATCAGCGGTCCCTAGCCGGTCGGTGTCCTTGATAATTAACTTTCATTTCACGTGTCTTAAACGATTCTAATAAAGATTGTGATCAGTCTACTATATGGAGTAGTATTTAGGACTAAATATACTATTACTTGTATAGCACAATTCGCATATGATACTACTTGCCTTTAATTTGCTTAGCTCTGCCACACGCATGCAACATGGCTTTGGTGATTAACAAGATTTTGCATGCTTTAGCTCTGGAAGGTACATGCACTGCAATGATGCAAACTAAATGTATACCACTACAGATCGATATCTTTGGCACGATGGCTAGATATATGTCTCTTCCTCTCATATAGAGGCTTCTTTTCTATTTTTCTTTTAGAAAGGAGGTCCCCAAAGTTAAAATCAGTTAATTGGTAAAAGCTACTTCCTTCATTTGATAATGTAAGTCATTCTATCATAGCCCACATTTATATAGATGTTAATGAATCTAAATATATCTGTGTGTCTAGATTCATTAACATCTATATGAATGTGAACAATGTTAGAATGACTTACATTATGAAACGGAGGGAGTATTCATCAACTATAAGTTGATCTCTGTTCCTAATTAAAAACCTTTCACAACGCATATACTCCCTCGTCCATAAATAAAAGGGATTTATATTATATTAGAGCATTTTTAGAGAGATTAAGGGTGAAGAGAAAAAACTAGGATGATTTTTATTTGGGCTAGACCGGATGATTAGAGATAAGATGGAAAAAAATTAGAATGAAGAGTGCCTGATGGGACTAGCGCTTGTACTCCAAAGTCTCTATATTATTATGCGTGTGAACAAACAGAGAGCTCCACAATCTCGTAGGTTTATACTCCCCCTTTCCTAAATTATAGGCCATGTTAGTTTTTTACAGTCTTACAAATGCATAACTTTGGCCATTGATCGATCGCTTGCATAACTGTGGTTATACAATTGCAATTCATGATGGGTTCTAATTGTTGAAAATATAGTCATTAATCGGCATATTTTAATCCAAGAAATTGAAACAATGATCATGGCATAAGCAGTGTAGGGTGATCTTAACATAACCAGTAGCATACTATGCGCATCATGAATGTCAGGAACAGGAACATACCAGTAACGCGATAACATGCTAGAGGCATCATGTAGAACAGGAACAACAACATAGCGCACATAGTATAGCGATAGCGCTAACAACAGTAGCAGGAGGAGAAGATTATACCCCGAGAATGGCCCTCCGCTGGATGGTGAGACAGAATTGCCTCCGTTGTTGTTGTCGTTCACGGCACCTCCTGGCGCACCAGCTCCGGATCCAGATCCAGATCCAGCTCCTGTCGGCGGCGGCGGCGTACCACCTCCGCCAGCAGTGGCGGCGGCAACTCCAGACATGGCGACGAGCAGTCGTGCGGGAGGCACTCCCCAAAAACCTGATCACCCGCCTACCCGGTGCAGATCTCAGGCGAAGGTGTGGTTTCGGAGGCACTGCTCCTTCCAATCTCTCGTGCGCGCAAGAGATCAGAAGCGGGGAAGCGAGAGCAACTCAGGCGCGGAGAAGGAGAAACTAACACCGGGAAAGAAGCGAAGAAGACGGATCGGGCTCGCGGCCTCCTTATCTATCAGGAGAAAGAACGTGGACGCGCTGTTGCGGAGGGAATCGTGGGAACGTGGGTTAGTGGCTGCAAAAGGATAGCGACGTGACGCACGCCGCCAGCCAGCCACGCCCTCGCCCCCGGCCCGGCGCGCGCGCGCGCGCGTGTGGCATTCCGACCCCCACCTCAACTGGTCAACAGGGAGCCTCCAATAACTCCCTATTTAGGTTGAGATATTTCTCGCTTAAATCCTAAGGTGGTATTATTATCCTCAACATTTATTATGGGCCTTTGAGATTTAATATTATAAGTTGGGCCTAGCCCAATTATTCTAACAATCCCCACCAAATTTCAAGGCTCATAAGAAATGTTCTCAATGTTGTGCCTGTTTGATATACCAGGGTTTTGGTGGAGACTGTTAAGTTGAACTTCCACCTAGGAAATGAGCTACATCAGACCACAACTGAACAATGGACTATGCCTTGAATTGTATGTTTTGTGTGATCAGGTTTCACTCAGAACCTTGACTGGTACTGGGCTGCCGTTCGCATCCCCTCTGTTTGGAGCATATAAGTCAAACTCCAGGCCTTTCATGAGTATCTAGAGATCGCCCAAACCTCATAGACTGTGACTAGCAGTCGAACTCATATAGGTGTGTTCCTTCTGAGATGTTCTGCAGGTCAACATCTCTGCTTGGAAAAGCCACTCGGATCACATTAAGACTTAAGCCATCCTACCATGCAGGAAAGAAGAGAAGCACATCATGAAAATGAGCCCTTTTCAAGGGTCTCTTCTCTCAATCACACAATAGTTTGTTTCACCATCCAAATTCACGGGATCTCCGATCACGGACAGGTTTCCACTATTATGCAACCTTAGGTGGGTATCAAGCCCATTTCCCTCGATGCACTGTCTATCACATTACGTGGTAGCCTCCTGGTAAACTGATCTGCCAGATTTCTAGCCGTTTGGACATAGTCCAATGCTATCACTCCGGAGTTTTTCTGACAGATTTCAGTCTTCTCTTGATGTGTCTAGATGACTTCATGTTGTCCTTTGAACTGTTCACTTTAATAATCACTGTTTGATTATCGCAGTTCATTAGGATAGCTGGCATTGGTTTTTCAACCACTGGCAAATCCATCAGGAGTTCACGAAGCCACTCGGCCTCAACTGTCGCAGTATCTAGTGCTGTAAGTTCTGCTTCCATTGTTGACCTCGTTAAGATGGTCTGTGTCACGCCCTAAAAATCGTAAATATATAAATTGTTGTTTAATTGGAATTTTTAGAAATTATTTTAAAAGCCTACAAGCTAAACCCTAATTTTCTAGGAAAATTTTCAATATAAAAATGAGCTAGATAAAATTTTATTAAATACTATGCTTGCTCCTCTATTTTCTAGATTTTTCTGGGAATTATTTGAGCAAGGGAAGTAATTTTAATAATTGAAACAACATTTCACAAATTGTTTTTATTGAAAAAGTTCAAAGAAGCCCCTCCTAGGCCGTTGGGCCGTTTCCGGCCCAACTTCTCTCTCTCTCCCGCGCGGCCCAAGCCGGCCCAGCCGAGCCGTCGCCAGCCGCCGCCCCTCCTCTCTCTCAGCCGCTGACATGTGCGGCCCACATGTCAGGGTCGTCCCCTACCTCCAGCCGCCGCCGCGCAAGCCGCCCGAGCCGCCGTTTTCCACCTCCAAATCCGCCCCAATCCGGTCTCCTCGAGTCCGAATGTTAGAGGGGTTTTGTTCCTCTCGTTCTCCTCTTTCTTTTCCCCCAAGAATCAAAGAGAATCGTTGAGGATTGGATCCGAATCGAATTCGTTTTGATTTTATCCCTAAAACCGAGTTTGAATCTTTCCCGAATCGATTCCTCTCGTATGGAGCTTGATCTCTTCAATCCAATGCTTTATATAGCTTCCCCTCGTCGTCCTCTTCCGTTTGCCCCATCTCCCGAGCTCTCCCGTGCACCGTAGCGCCGCCGCCACGTGCATTTAGTCGCCGCCGCCGCCGGCCATCTTTCGGCCGCGTCGCGCCGCCGTCTCCGCCGTCGCCGCCGCTTGCCGCCGTCGCCGTTAGGTGCGCCGTGGTGAGAGGAACCTCGGCCGCCCATCCTCCTTCGCCGCCGACCACCGGAGCCCCCTCGTCACCGTCGACCCAAACCGCCGCGCCGCCTCTTCTCGTCACCGGCCGCCGTCGTGCACCGTTTGACGTCGTGGTGAGTACCAACGGGTTCGCCTCGTTGTCCTCTACGCGTAGATGGTCTCCGTTTCCGCGGCCGATCGCTCTAGCGCCGGCGAGCTCGCAAACCCTAATCGGCCGCCATTGCCGACGTCAGCATGACGTCAGCATGACGTCATCATCAGGGCTGACGTCATCATTAGGGCTGACGTCATCGTCTCCTTTTCTTTTTCTTTTTCCGATTTTCTAATAGATTAAAACTTCGGAAAATCATAACTAAATAACCGTAGATCCGTTTTAGGTGGTTCAAGTTTCTAAATTCTTCTAAAATCAAGATCTACATGTTAAAAATATCCACATGTACTGTTTATGCTTGTTTTTGTACTGTTTTGTTGATTTTGTTTATTTGCTTTAGTTTCCGACGTTCCGGAGGAGAGCGTTTCCGTTGAGGAAGGTTCAGAAGCGTTTGTGGAAGCCCAAGGCAAGTCACACAGATCCCAAACAACCCTTTGAGCATGTTGATCCCGTTTAAAGCTATCATTTTATTTCAACTATGCATTGTTTTCGAATGTCATCGGGTGGTGAACCTTTCCCTATTAATTAATGGCCGAAGATGACTTTATTTTCCTATGGGTTATAACTTGATTAGCATGAACCTTATATATTGGATTGGTTCAGCTAAATGCTATATATATAGGTTTGCTTAGTCATGCTTAGAAACATTAGCTAATTAAAAGGGGTTAAATATAATTATATTACATAATAATTATTATTAATTAGGGTTATATTTAATGGTAGCTCACGATGATTAATCGTGTGATGTTAATTAATTGATAATTAAAACCTGGTTAAGGTGGGTTGTGAGCATATGGTTTTGATGGTTGTGCTCATGACAATTAAGGACCGGTTCGCGAGCTACTGTTGTGAAACATTTATCGTGCCAACCACAAGCCAGCGTGGGCAACTGCTTTACCTTTTGTATA